CACCATTTTTTGGAAGTCAATACAAAGCTCCTCGTTACACCTAAACGCCCTCCCAGAACTAGTTTACGTCTCAAATTTTCTCTCACATTTTTACAAACAGAGTGAGGTGGGTGTAATCTGTTGTTTTGGTTGTTATTCATACATGATCTCGAATTCGGCGCTCCCTTCACCCCTCTCGAAGTCCACCTTGATGTTCTTCGCGATGAGCCAACACCTCACTCGGATGAAGGTGTTGCGTTTAACTCCGTCAAACATGACGAAGACCAGGGGCTGTAGGTAGGCTAATTGACCTCGGTAGGGGAAGTACATGGAGTGGAAGCTGCCGTTCTCAAGTTTGCCAGGATTCACACCTGGAGCTATCGCCGAGAACTTAAAGTCCATGTCATAGTAGCGGATAGTGCCGAGGTTGTAGGTGTCGTCTGCGGTCACACCAGAACACTTCACCAGCACGCCGGTGGCGAACTCGTCGATTGGGTCGGGCAGCCATCCGTAAATGCGGGCCATTTTGAGCACAAAACATACCTGGGCTTTGTTGTAACCAAATCTGGAATGGAAGAGGAACAACGTTCGCTCAAAACCGACAGCCTTTGTCCAAAAGTGATACAAAACGGCAACAGACATTGTAGCCGAAATGCAAATGAGCTAGTGAAGCTATGCCTGCCAGTTAACCTCGAACTGCCCCAGCAGTTGCAATGCATTCAGAGGCAGTGATAGGCAAGGCTTCGCCCACCATGGAGTTCGACAGCTAGTACTCCAATCTCGACAATACTTGTTTTCCTTAATTGACGCGCGCGAACAACAGAAAACTCGGCGCGGTGTTCACAGAAGCGAAATGTCGAGGCTGACTTTAGTCAAGTTTCGCAAAACAACGCGAATTTTAGTGTTTGGGAAGGCGTTTTCTGTATGTGGAATTATTTCTTCCAGATGTCAAATCTTATGGTATCATTGGAAGGGAAAATGTAAAGTCCCTCATTTCACCTGTGCTTAGACAACCTAATTTCCTGCTTCAAACGGTCTTAACACCTCAAGACGTCCAAAACCTAGTACCTGAAGAACAATATACCGAATGAGATACTTTCGTTCTAACATAGCATGATTTTATGTGATAGCTGGTTGGAAACTTGCACTTTGCCTAGTTCAATGTGTCCATCAACTCCATAGATCTGAATACGAAGCCTGAAAGGCATGATTACTCTCCGACATTAGACTTAGTGTTCCACTGGCACTACAAAATCCAACAGCAAGGATATTTGTCGAGCAGCCGAAAAATTTTCTCTCCGATGTTGTGTTCACAAGAAGTAACGAGAGCCATGGCATGTATTCATTCAACGCATGTCAGACGACAAAATCAGCGTTTGGCGGAGTGTGGGTGTGTGATCATACATCATAAGTCAATGCAACGAGTCGAAACGAGATAGTTAAATTATGGCCGCATGCGGATGTCTCTGGCTGTTCCTTTAATCTCAACTGTCGGACCGCGTCTTCACTATAATCTGAATCGGAAACAGGCCTCTTTTAATTTGCATATTACAGGGCATCACGTCTATGGTCGTCATCCTCGTCCAGGCTAAGTTATTACGCGTTATTTCATTGTTGAAAGGTCTCTGAGAGGTAACTAAGAGCTGCCTTCGTCTCAACCTGGCCACAGTCAAAATCTGGACGCTGTGTGAACAAAATGTTACCGATCCCGCACCCATTCATGATGTTGCAAGGTCCTCCGGCGTTCAGGTCATAGGTACAGGGTCTTTCGGGGTTCTGCTTGTACCCGCCCTCCTGAGGACAGTCCTCGGATTCCGTGGAACCCGTGTTGTCCTGGTAGGCGTGTAGGAAGGCGGCCATTTCGTCGGACTTCTTGTAGTAGGGCAGAGGTTCGCGAGAACGGAAGTAGAGGAGACTGGAGAAAATGTCGGAATTCGGCACGTAACTGAGACCCGGGTTCATCTGAAGCGCCGACTGCATGCCGGTCAGGGCTGGGTGATCTCGGGGCACCTACAATTGAGAGAAAAACGCGCCAACTGACTTGTCATTCTGTCCCTAACGGGATTTAAACCTTCTCAAGAAAGAATTTTTTGCCCATGAACAAGGCAATGATTACTGTTAGCACAGGTTAGACGATCGGGGATACAACGGACGAACTAGGCTTAATTCTGAAAAGGGTTACCGCAATTTTGTGGAAACATGCAAGAGGTAAACGCCGGCAATGCACCTGAAGTGTGCCGCGGAACATCATGCACTGGTAATCATCGCATTATCTTGGACAATGTCTGTGAATGTGTTGTTAGGCAGGAGAACCTCCAAGGGTGGAGTCTTCTACGAACATTCAGCTACTGCGATTTATTTGTTCAATTGAAAACGACGCGTTCCAGTGTGGGGACGCAGCATTGAGAGCCATCAAAAGCGACACAACTGCCTTTTGGTCAGTTGTTCTCAAGATAATCTAAGGATTCTGCATTAGGGCAAATTGCTTTCAATTTTTCGCCAAAATAACACAGCACCGTCCCCTACCAGATATGTACAGCTAAGTTTGGAAACAATTTATGCGAGCTAAGCTTTCAAACAGCTGGTGAATTACGCAGTCGTTCGTGTGCATGGATACTTCATAAAACCTGACACCATGTTGACCAATCCAAGGACCTGCGACCAACTTCCATTCAACTAGGTCGGTGCGCTGTCACTGCAATCATAACCAACATGCCAGTCCAAAACAGCGCGACAATGAGGCAAGTTACGGAACTACGCAAACTAACCTGCTCTGTGGAGACGCGTTAACAGGGTCAAGGCTTCGTGCCACAAGCAACAACTAGGTGACATTTTGTTAAACAGTGGTTGAAATAACAACGAGATTATGGTAAAACGATTTTGACAAGCCGAGGCAATCGTTGATTCGCCTCTGGTAAAACAAGACTGCGTTGTTATTGTAAGAAAACGAAATCACTTATGTAAGGCTAATTGCTTGGGGAATTAATAAATGATACTATGTCTAAGATTCAACCGTTTTGACGAATAAAATTAATTTTCATTTTAAAGTTTTTTTGCAAAAATGAGGTGAAGATGTTGCAAATTTGACATGGGATACAGCTCCTATGGTGACATTTTTGTTTAATTTTGCAAAAATTTGATTTAAACTACAAAAACGACGTATGCTATAAAAAGCAAACTATACTAACTTTGTATTTATATGTTTAAGTTCTGATTTGTAATAGTTTTTTTTTTCAAAACTCCAGGAATGAGTTTGAAATTGTTTCGTTCACATCAAGCCAAAGAAACAGCCGCATTCCAAAGTTTCCAGGAATCCACCAATAGGCTTCGAGAGATTTAAAAGATACGGCAACCAATGTGTTTAAGATGCTAGGATGTTTGCAAAATACTTACTTGGAAGTACATGTACCAATTAAGGTAGCCGACAAAGAAGAGACCAAGGACGGAGTAGAAGACGACGAAGTAGAGGAGGCGCTGGCAGATTGCCTTCACCGAGTCCACATCCTCGGCTGGGTTACGCCGCCGTCTGCGTTGCCTTGGATACGCATAGACGGTGGTGTTCTTGAGGAGGAAGGCCTGTAGGGGCTCGAACTTGGTGCTTGGTGAGAGCTGTGATCTGTGCGACCTTGTAGACATGGTGGTGTTTGAGCAGCGCCACCTACGTGCTCATTGAAGCACCGGTCGCACAAATGCGCGCACCGTGCGTATGTGCACCAAGTCGGCTTCGATTGGTTGACGCAAGTGCGCATTTGTACCTAGATGGACATTGGACAATCCGAGTGGATTCTCGGGTTTCAAACCATCCAAGATCTGCTGGCATTGTTGAAGGGTTTGTGATGGTTCATTGCCTGTAACCTAATACGAGGTAGTTTCACCGGTTGCATTGCAGTAATCGCGCAGTCACCAATCTGATTGCTTTGCGCTGGCAGTTACTTCGTCCAATCAAACCTAGACCTCGAAGTGTTTGACTGATTTACTTAATTGATGTTAAGCATCTAGCAGTCTGCTGGTAAGGAATGTTCGAAGCCTCTTGTTGACATGACAGAGGGACCAAGGCAAATTGGTGATGTGGGTCAAAAAATCGATAATTAGGCCAATTCCAAGTTGTCCAAATCCTCTTTAGCATAAGTCGAATGACCTTCTCTGACCGCGTGGCTGATTTCACCTTGGATACATGACTTTTCTATTAGCGTAGTAGCTAATGTGTTTTAGATCTAGTTGGTATTTTAATAGAACACGCTGAGGTGAACGCGTTAGGAGTAAACCAACAACTTTAGACCGTAACCTGAAGTGTAAATTATACAAGAACTGCTTTCATTCCAGAAGCCTGGCCATTATAACAGAAATTTGGTTTCGACTCGTTTAAACAAATGAGATGAAAGCCATAGCCGTAGCCGCTGTTTTCATCACTTTAAACTTTCAGGTATGACGCCTGACCACACACCCACACTTCGACAAACTCTGATGCTACAGAAGACCAGACAGAGCTGTTGTCTTCGTGCGTTGAGTGAATCCATGCCATGCCTCTCGTTACGCCTTGTGAACACAGCATCGATAATCCGGCTGCCCGACAACTATCCTGGTTGCTGCAATTCAGAGTGTCACTGGAACACGAAGTCTATGGTCGGAGAGTAATCATGCCTATCAGACTTCGTATTCAGATCTATGGAGGTAATGGACACAATGAACTAGGCAAGGTGCATGTCTCCAATCAGCTCTGGTCCTCCCATTCCCTTTGGACATTGCTTACACCCAACAGATCCGATTGGTCCTCAATTCACTGATTTAATACAAAGGAATCAAACGCCTTGTTAAGTAGCCAGAAAGACAGACGAAAACCATATCCCTAGATGTGTTCACGAAACCCTCTCTAAGATCCATGAATTCACAACCGAACACAGGAGCCTTCTTTTCTGATAGCCAGACGCCGTTGGCACATCTATTACTGCACTAATTCTACATTGCGTCACTTCTTCACACCTGCGTCCTGTGCACAACGACCTGTTAATAGGTGTTTTACAGCCCCCATAACTGCCACAAATGTAGGGCCGACACAAGGGAACCACGGGTGGAACTAGTTCAAACTAGGGACATAACTCCCCACGCCTTAGACGATGACGGACTAGATCCGCTGAACGCCACTCCAGGTCTGTTAGAGAAAAAACTACATCCAGACAAAATGCGCGTGGAGCTGTCAAAATTTCCCAGGCCCGACCCAGCTGACACTAAACTTGGAAACTACAGAGGTGATACTAAGCGGACTTAGGCAAACCGCGCACTTTCAGAACTAACACACTGCAAGTCAAAAAAAAACAACCGATTTCATTGAAAAGCCAATATATTCCAAAAAATCAAGGGAAGGCGGAGATTTCCGACGACCTATAAGGAAAGAAAACGACTTGTCACACTGGTCGACAAGAACTATCACGTTACAATGCAACTCAGGCTCATTAAATCAGCAACCAACAGGCGTATGGGATTTAATTTCATCATAAGCACTAACCGTAATGACAATACTGAACATCGGCGGGCACCATTTGTTCCAGAAACGTACTTCAAAGGCGTCTCCAAAGTCCAAAGAAACCATCAAGTGAGACAAAACCTAGGGAAGAATGTAAAGTGAATCAATAGGAAATCAGAGAGTTGACTATTATCAAGAATCAACGGATTGACAGATTACACAGCATCATTAAGAACTCACTTGTGCTTGCCTGAAGGTACGGTAGGGAACCTAAAAGGGAAAATTGCGATTATTGCATCAGACACCCATCACCAGCATCATTGTTGCGCCGCACACGGTGGGTTCAATACCGTGATTGCTAGAAAAGCAGCGACGACAACTAAGACGCGATGGGGATTTCATCAAACTTACCCCAGTTGCACGAAACGCCCACGTGGGAGCAGGCGCCCCAAAGCACAAAAGCAACCCGACGCATTCAAACAACATTTATTTGAAATTTGATTTTGGAAGTTATCTTTTTAAGATTAACTTATTTGTTTTTAAAATATTTAATCTGTACGTAATACGATGGTCTTTAAAATTTAACAAGTTGCAGATTTCAAATGTTAAAACGATTTTACCCTTCCAATTTCACTAGAACCAAGTAATTTTTTAGTTTTTGTATGAAAAAAATGGTTACTAATATAACAGAATACCGCAGTAGGCCACTAATATTCTTAAAAGCCTTGATTACTCATGTGTTTGTTGTCACTAAAAATAGCCATGGCAATAAACTTTACACATTAAAGGACGAGTGTGAAATCGAGTTACAAACACGCTTGATTTAAGGACATTTAATGGAAATGCAAACCATTCAATTTTTTCATTCCCGACAGGTGCATTTAGTAAGCAGAAAATAAAGTTATCCAAAAGAAATTAGGAACATAAGAGCATAAATTTTATTCCGAGTATTGCTGGAAGACCCGCTTTAATGGTTTGGCTAACAATACATGCTTACTGAATGCGGTGTGGAAAATAACGCAAAATTGAATATGAAATAATCAAGCGATTTCTTTAACTTTGAAAAAATATTCACGGTAAGCATAGACATACGATTGCAACGACTCACCTGTCAAAACCGATAGGCTGGAGAGTAAATTGTTACTTGGCTTGTGTTTTGTCGATTTCAAATGTTTGTTCATGTATTTTTAGATACTTTTACACCGTTTCCGTGAGAAATGGTTGAATGAGGAGCAATAATGTAGCATTATTTTCTAATTTCTAACGGTAAATGCTTTTAACTAGGTGACTATTACAGTAAATATACACGATGAAAATATGTGACATGGACTACAGAAATTGTAAGAATTCGAATGTCAACCTATAAGAGATCGATTATGTAATAAGCAAGAATAACCCATAATGCTAAGTATTTTATATAGTCTTTGATTTATCCCAAAAATGACAAGGCAATAACGATTAGAGCTTGACAACTATCATGGCTGATTCACTCTTCTCGTGTTTTTACGAATTGTTAACTAGAGGGGTGTAAGGTAGTGCTAGACACAAGCTACTAAACCTTCAATTATTGATCAAGTCTCCCAACAACTCCTGACATGCAGATTGCCTTTGTTGCTCTGAAGATCCTATCTGCATCATCCATATTTCGCGAATTTTGCATTCAACTGTGGAAGCCAAAATTAATTGGCCAATTTTCAGCGCTCGTTTTTAGATTGCCTCCTTTTAGTAGACTGTCTTATGCGAGCTGACGCACCTTTAGCGCTAAAACTCAAGCTACTATATATGAGTTTTTAATGTTGGACGCACGTTCAAAAAGTCAAAAGGTAGGTTAAAACTCTCGCCTTGCACCCTTAAAAAAAGAAAAGTATCATGTATTATGGTGATTTTACTGGAAATAGCCACAATTTCTTAGGAATCTTTGGAATAGTAATGTTTTTACAAATTCATGTCCAATCAAATTTATATCACAGCAAATCGAAAGTTGGACATCGAGTCTTCTAAATACATTAATCCAAAATGCAAGGCTAATTGGGTTGTGGAAGCCTTGAAGAGGTTTAGTCATGAAATTTGGGAAAATTCATAAAGAACTGTCCAGATCTTCAAATGTAAGTGCGCTGAGTTCTGCTTAACCTGTCGATTGAAGTTCTTCATGATCAGAAGCGGTCCATAAAATTTGAGATTTTATTTTAATTCCCGCGTCAGTATGTCTCAGCGCAACTCCTAAAAACGTTCAAATTCGAAATGTCGAAGTGACAAGTTGACGGACTAACAATTGAGTCGGATTTCCACAGGCGTGTGAAAGCGGTGTTGATGTGTTACGTAGGTCCCCCGTGATCTCCTCGGGTGAGGTCGAATTAGCGGTATTTACAAATTTTAGCTTTCTAGGCAAGATTCAGTCGTGCAAATTAGGTCTATTGTGTGTGTGTGTGATTAACACAGGAATGTGTGAATTCACAGAGTTGTGAAGATGGCTGGGTTCCAACGTTGATATCGATTGCAAACCATGCTTGGCCACTGAGTTGGATCTGGTCTGATCAAGCTCCCCTGCTAGCCACAATGATAAAAAAAGACCGGAAAAGACGCATACCCAACCGTGTGTGTATTCTTAGCCCCGATTTGTAAGCCAGTGTGATTCATAAATGTGCTAACATCGTGACCTAAGCGAATATTATCACACGTGGTGATAATCATCAGCGCTAGTGTAATGTGAGTTGGGGCTCCCCCCATGGCTGACAGCACGCCGAGAAAAGGGGAGCAGCGTGAGTCGGAGACTAGAGCGACCGAATAAACGAGGGTGACTTAACGCGATTCACAATGAACCTTTTTTTAAAATCTGAATATAAATAGCTACAAGGCAAATCCACCAAAAAACCAAGGTAATTTCTGGCTCTCGACATCCAAATTCATTCAATCTCGTTCCATTTGAAACAGTCTGCGTTTCCCAATGGGAACTCGACTTTCATTTCTCATAATTAATTAGCACAAAAGACACAGGCACCAAGCGACCCCCAGCCGCTCCGATCGCATTATTTTCTTCCCATGTAAAATCAATTTTCCCTAGACTGAAATAAGGTACGGATACTTGTACCGATTATAGATATACACGGGTTGTTGATGGCATAGTAGGCACAATAACCTGGCCTAAATTACTTTGAACCCAATTACAGTTTATTGGTCAGATGCGCGCATCGGCGTGTGCGAATAGCACGTTTCCGATTGCTACATCTGTTGTTACCGACAACGGCACTCCACCCGCTCATACTGACTAGTGCCTGGAAAGTATCGATGGACTTCACCAACACGACAATCTCCATGAATGTACCCTGTTTGACGAGTGAAATAGGGGAGTACAGTTAAAATAAGACGTTTGTTTCTCAAAATGTGAGCGTAAAAGTCATGAAAAAGGCATCGGAATGTCAAAAACACAGTAGCTTAGCACAGACAGGTCATCACCAGAAGATGGTGCTTTCGATGAGGTCGGAGAGCCATCCGGTGAAACCGCGACTACGTCCACTGTTGGCGCCGGCCATGCCCTTGACCTGGGGTGCACCACGACTGGGGTCCACCTCGAAAATGTCCGCGGTGTCCGCCAGGTAGGGGTGAAGAGGCTTGGAGACTTTGGGCGCAGCTGCAGCAGCCGAAGACGGCGCAAAACTACGACGATCCCGCACTGTGTACATTGAGCTAACACGAGAGAGCCTGAGAGGGAATTAATGGGAAATTGACGTTTGTAAGTGAAAATCTATTTGTAGAGATTTTCAGGGCGAAAGCTACGCTTGAACAAAAAAAGGTATAGTCAACAACCTAGTGATTCGTGATTCTGATCAAACAACCCTACAAGAAACGCATACGGCAGGCAAGTCTATGAAACCGACGAATCAGTGTAAGATGCTTATTTTACAGAACTCATTTTAAAGCATACGCAAATTCAGGGAACAAAGCATTACAAAAATTGGTAAGACACAGCAGAGCCGATGAGTAACAAGATTTAGAAGCTTACTTTGATTTCTGTCGTTTGACAACATGCGCGGAAATATCTGATCGATCATTTGTTGCAGACGCTAGTTTACATGCGACAGAGACAGCTTCTAAAATTCGTTCAGGGTCCAAATCGTCAAGTGCCATCACTACCACGCGCAGTTTGTTCAACTGGAAAGTTATGCTCACAACTCCTTTTACCGTAATAAGTTGTGATTCAATTGCTTTTAGATCTTGCTAAAATACAAAGCCAAAATGAATTAGCCATGAAAAAATATTACTAAAATATCAGAAAAAATGTATATATTTGAAGTAGGAGTAAAAAAACTGAAGGTATAAGTAGGTTCCAATTAGGAGAATAATAGCAACAAGGGGTGAATATTATTGGCGAAACTATTATCGAACAACGTGAAATCATGAAATATAGACGCGAAAACTCATGAAGAGTGCAAATGCAAGAATTTTAAAACAGCGGTAACTCACTTTAGTTATATTCCCCGAAAGCTGGATGACAACAGGACGCGACTTTCGAGACTTTTTAGGACGATGCGACTGTGAGGGCATTCTAAAAAGTTAAATGATACAAAAAAATTACCTTTTAAGATGTGCTTTTGACGAAAAGAGTGTTTCGAAAAGGTCATCAGTAAGTTCTCTAATTCTAACAGAATGACTCTCCCCTGAAGCCTTCAGACTCGACAATTGCTCCATCATGCCCGGTAGTTTTGAGAGGTAATATGAACCACCATTTCGTTCAGAGAGAATTTTAAATATCTAAAAATATTAAATGAAAACCCTGCAGCCATTTACATTGAGGATTTCTTCAACAGCTGATTCTTTTTCGTTCGATAAAAGAATTACAAGACCTCCCAAAGAAGTATTGTCCTACTATTGTCAAAACAACAAAATACACACTTTAAGTAACGACGAGTAGCTTAAGTCATCCAACGCCAACTTCTTGAAAGACTCAAGGAGACCTTCCATTTTCTATATCTACCGCACGCTGAAATTCCTGTAATTCTTGATACGACTAAACAAATTTAATTATGAACCAAAGGTGCAAGACAGCACTTAATTCACATATTAAAAATTTGCCACTTTTTTAAAAAACAAGCACTTTGTAAATATTTTTCCTTTTATTATTTATTAAAACAGTTTGATAAACAAATGAGGGCTTGCGCTGTTAATTTGGTAAGTTCTTATTTGAATAATTTATTCAGATTTGCAAAGTTGCATAAAACTTAATTTTAAACTTATCTGATGCGAACAAAAAACATGAATTAATGTAGCTTCATGCAGTTCTCACGGTTAAAGCGTAGTATTAAAGCTAATTAACAATCAAAATATTTCATAGAAACCCTTTTAGTCAAGTTCTTCTTAGTTTACAATGTAAAATATTATCATACAAAAATATATGGATTCAAACTGTTTTCAAAATAATATTTAGCTGATGTTACCACTTCATTCATTGGAAAAACGAAATGTAAGCTATGTTCTAATTTTTAAAATAATTTTCTCTAAATTTGACCATGATTATAAGTAACGACTGACATTTGGGATTTTTGTGACTTTAGTTTTGACTTTAGTTTTCTCATTGGTGTCTCTTGGTATTTTACTTCTATTAGCTTCTATTGCTTGTGGAGCTTAGAATATCCGAGCCCTACTTGTAAGAAAACTTGCCAAAGAACAGGCTTCACTGACCAATCACGAGCCTGGATTAAACGTTAGGCGCCATCCACTTGAGTACACCACATTGTCTACGCTTATTGTTATATGTAGCTCCTCATTCGTGTCTTTCTCTCGTTGGCTGCATAGCTTCCTCGCATCCCACTCGAACGCAGAGAGACAGGATTGCTGACGCCAACGTGGTCCAATATGTCTGCGCCCTAATCCGACGCCACACTGCCTCCCCCTCAGCAGTGAAGCTGTCCTCAGCTTCCGGCTTGGTTCCTTGCACTGTTGTTGATTCCCCGTGTTGACAAAATATCCAGTTCGACACTCCCCTCACACCACATCTGGCAGGTTAGTGGCCCATGGGAATAGTTGACGAGGGACTTTGCTCTTGCAGACATGCAGGAAAGACTCATAATCAATCGAAGGTCCATTCGCAGATGCAGTCCAGCTGGCTTTCACTGTCCAAGTCGTCGTCGCTGAGTTGCCAATGCCCCTTCAGATGCAGTCGTCATAATCCCGAGAAGTGTCTATGGATCCACTTTATTGGACATCGGATGACCGCCATGACAATTTCCGCTGGCATTCAAGGGTCTTCGCCTCTGTTGACCATTAAAGAGAAAGGGCTGGGTTTCGATTTGCGTTATTCGAACGCATCCGATGCCACCAATGTAGAATAAACGAGCCCTAATAGGTAAAAACCGGTACAAC